GGGGTCAACAACAGGGTGACAACAACAGGGTGACAACAACAGGGTGACAACAACAGGGTGAACTACGTTCGTGTTTTGGCTCGTGTAATTTGACCGCCATCGGATCTGCTCAACAGCGCAGACAAGAGACGAGCTGCTCAGCAGCAGCGCGTGGCTTGAATCTGATTTGCGCCCGTTATATCATATCTGCCTTAATTTCCCCACGAATGCGCACACACGTGTGCACACACGTATGTTGCCAATGAAAGCCGCACCCTTAACGGTTCCACAAGAAATGACCGCCAGATGTTCAGCCTAAATATCATCAAATTCCCCGGTCTTCCCCTTCCCCAGACGGCAACAGGATCCTTCGGCGGCGTTTATTGGTATGTTCCACTACCAGAGATCTGTCTTGGCCCAGTGCCGTTGCTATGCAGTAGTAATTTTTGCTTTCATGGGAGAGGTTTATATAGCTTTCGGCAGCAACCTGCGCGAGGAGCACCGTCTGGAGGATTTGGAGTCGGGCGTCAGATTGGTTGGTAAGTTAGAGGAGTTGTCGTACGCTGCGTCGAGTCACCTGTATGAAACACGTGCAGCATACGGGAGTCATGGAGACTACCTGAATGCGGTGGTGCGATATTCCGTGGACCGGTCGGTGTGTACAGAGATTGGTTTGAGTACGTTGTTGCGGTCGCTGCAGAGCATTGAGCGGCAGGTGGGACGGACGACAGCGCAGGGGCGTAACCGGGACCGCGTGCTGGACGTGGATCTTGTGAGCGTGGTGGTGTCTCGCTCAGCCTCCTCCGTGGCCCTAGACCGCTTAGCCTCGGTTGCGGCTGGCGGGAAGATGGCGACGACCCGGCGGTTTTGCCTGCATTCCAATGGCGTGCCTGTGCATCTGGACCTGCCGCAGCTCCAGCTCCCGCACCCCCGCGCACACGAACGCCGCTTCGTCCTCCAGCCGCTACGGGACCTGACGGCTCAACGCATTATACGCACGCCCGACGGTCTCTGGGCCTCACCTTCCGAACTTCTACTAGCCATGGCCGACCGAGATCTGTCGGATGCACGCTACAGCCCCATCAAGCGTCTCTGGGCCACCACCAAGTTCGCCTACGCGCCGCAATCACCGTGCACTATGGGCATTCTCAACATCACCCCGGACTCCTTCTCGGAAGCCGATCCACTCGTCGCCTCCGACACACCAGCCTCCCAACCACGCGTCGACCTGGTCAAGACCGAGGCGAGACTCCGTCGTCTGCACGCACAACATTTCGACGTCATCGACGTCGGCTTCGAAAGCACACGACCCAACCAACCCCTTATCTCTTCCGAAACTGAACTGCTACGACTCGAAGCCGCCGCCCGCCTACTGTTCCACACCGCCACTGAACTGCAGAAGCCACTCTCCATCGACACTCGAAGGCCCGCTGTGTTCAAACGCGCTCTGGAACTCGCCCAATTATGCGCCGCCGCCGCCGCCGCCGGAGATAGCGCCCAAAGTGAAAACAGCGCCCGGAGAGAATACAGCGCCGAAGACACTACGACAGATACCGTGAAGATTACCGAGGACACCCGCGCGTCCCGACACTTTTGCGGCACCTGGAACAACGTCACCGGAACCCAGATTTCCGACGAAGACATCAAGTGGTGCGTTGCCCAACACGTAACGTATATTTGCGCTCATTGGGAAGCATTCGATGGCGTAACAAACGCGCGAGGAGAGCTCTGCGATTGCCCTTGGTCTACTGCAATGAATGAGTCTACTGAAATGAACGAGCCTGAGAATGATAATACTCCGCAACCATTGGCGGTCTCTGTCATGTCTCCTCATGGTACCCCTGTCACCGTGACGCCCCCCAGTGCGATTTTGGCTGACGAGCTCGCAGGCCGGACTACCGCGTCGCCAACCTCGGTCAAAGGACGTTGTAGCATACCCACTCCGTGCAAACACGTCACGGACCAAATTGAACGCATTAGAGAGACTTTGAACCAGTTCGTCTCCAGGTGGTTCAGACAAGGCGGCTTACGGTGGCGCTTAGTCATTGACCCAGGCCTCGGATTCGGCATAGACAAGCGCGTCAGCCAAGCTCTCCTGCATACTAGTCAAGACCTGTTCAGCGACCATATCCTGTTATTAGGCTTCAGCAAAAAAAGGTACTCTCTGCCCTCTCACTCCCCTTTCTCTGCCCTCTCACTCCCCTTTCTCTGCCCTTTCACTCCCCTTTCTCTGCCCTGTCACTCCCCTTTCTCTGCCCTCTCACTCCCCTTTCTCTGCCCTGTCACTCCCCTTTCTCTGCCCTGTCACTCCCCTTTCTCTGCCCTGTCACTCCCCTTTCTCTGCCC